GGGCTGATAAAGTATTGAAAGAATGAAATCTTGCGTTGTATGGGGAAGGAGCCGTGAGCAAAGAACATCTGCTGGGGAGTTCAGTGGCTGGGTCACCTCGGAGGGTGCACTAGAGGGTGTCATAAAACCAGTGGAGCCCCAAGGTCAGCAGGACAGCCTGGGGCTGGCCAGACAGGTCCTTGGCCTTCTTCCCCAATCTAATTTTAGGGAACTTTGCCTAGACCTTCACATTAGCTATGTCATTGTCACTTCAGTTCTCCAGGAGGCCACCTCTGTGAGCTTCCCTATGGAAAACACGAACGTGGAGTCCTTTACTCTGAGGCCATAGGAACCTTGAGGGTGGCAAGAAAAGACAGAGACATTTAGCTGCTGGATCCACTGCTAACTGAACTAGAAAGCTCATCACACAGTGGTACAGAGGAGCAGCAGCTTTTCTATCGATCTGTAGTCTTTTACTCTTTCTGTGGCTCTCAACCATGGGTGCATCTTGTCATTAATCAGGAAGCTTCAGAAATTCTCAACACCCAGGTCTAATCCCAGAGAAATGCGATTGGAATCTCTACAGATGGTGGATAATGGGAAAAATAGGAATGGTACTTCAATAGCAGTAGATTAAGGGCATTAGTTTTGGGGAATGTGAACGTAATGCTAATATATAAAATTTTGGGGGGGCGAAGGGTAATAAATTTTATTTAAGAATCATGTTGCTAAAGAACGTCATTGTTAGGTATATTAAAAAATGCTGAGTGATCTATTGTACAACATGGTAACTATAGCTAATATTATACACTTGAAAAGCACAGAGAGTAGGTTTTCAATGTTCTCATCACCAAAACATCGGTATGTGAGGTGATGCATATGTTAATTGGCTCGATTTGGCCATTCCACAATGTTTACAAATTTCAAAACATCATGTTGTACACCGTAAATATGTACAATTCTTACTAATTAAAATTTCTTTAAATGCTGGAAGATGCGTAGTTCTCTTTAATGCAGAAGGGAGTGCTGAGTTAGCAAATTAAGGGAAGATACTAGAGAATGAAAGATGATCACTTCTGGGCCAGCAGATGGCATGGAGGTTAGGGTAGCTGGATCCCACATGGCCAACTGCATGGTTTGAAATCAGGATCTGGTGGCTTGAAGATCATGCCGGTGTGTGTGCCCAAAATCCCAAGAAAAGAATTAGAGGAGAAGTGATGGCAGTGTGTGGCCACCACCCCTGGGCGTTGATTTCTCACTTTCCTTTCCCTCTCTTACTCTGCGTCTCTCTCCAGCAAGTGCATGTGCTCTATATAGGAAACTAAAAAAAAAAAAAAAAAAAAAAAAAAAATTCCTTCTAAAATATTCTTCTAA